AAAATAATTTTTACTGTGTCTTTTCATATGCAGATTATTCACAAAATGACTTAAACATATCAACATGATTTAAAAGGCCTAGGGGACCAAGAAGATAAATGCCTATACCCCCCCAGCCAAAGGTATCCTGGTTAAATCTTCTGCAACTCATAACTTCCCTAGTTAAGAAAAACTGAAAAAAAGAGTAACCACATAAGCATACCTTTCACTACTTATTAGTTGGCTTACAATATTGAACTAAAAAAAATCATAAACTGAATATTTATAATAAAATAAGTAGGGCAATATAATGGTTCTGAGATCGGTACTATCATTTTTGTGAAGAATTAGCTATAGTTTCAGAATAAACTGTTATCTTACTGAATACTAAAATAATTGTTCAAAATTTCAAAATGTAGAATTTTATTTAAGTTAAAGAAAGACTATAAAACATGAAGGAAGTGCTTTCTAGGAGACAGAAAAGTACCTTAAGGGCAAGGGATTTAGCTCAGTGGTACCACACCTGCCTCGCGAGCACAAGGTCCTAACTTCAATCCCCGGTACTGGGGGGCGGGGGAAGTACCTTAAATGTAAAATCACTACAGAGTTAAAATTACATGTGGCAGGAAGTCTCACTGAGTCAGGCAAATAAGCAAGTCTTCTATTCTGGTACCAGGCCCCCTCTGCCAGTACTCACTGACTGATGCAGAATAATATGTCCATACAGCCTGAGTATAACCCTGTGCTAAATGTACAACCCAGAAATGTTTTAAGTAATTCATACCCATTAGCTCGTTTAATCACAGTAATTCTGAATAAAATATATTATATTTGTGTTAATGCTGAGGGAATCATGGGCAAGAGCAACTGAAGGGATTACGGCCATGCCAATGGTACCCTGCAGAGGCAGGCGCTGGCCCTGGCTTCCCCTCTCCACTTGCACAAGCTTTCTTAGGTTGTGGGCACAGACCCAGGGCTGCTCGGGACTCCTCAGGGTGGCACTGCTACTGGCATTGTACGTGAGAGAGCTCTGCTCCCTACAATGTGTGGGGGTTGTGTCCACGGACACCACCGCAGGTGTGTACTCTGCCATGCTTGGCAAAGGACCAGGCAGTGGTCCCAGGGCATCAGAGCAGGCATCTTATGTTAGGAGCGAGTAAAGGCGACTAACTGTATCGAACGTCTTTACGACAGGTCTGTGAAATGGCTTTGGAAGGCGTGCAAAGCATTGTGCAGGAGAACAGCACTGGGCACTCGCTGGGGATGTGGGGCCGCACAGGCACCTTTTCCAAGGGCTCCTGGTTTTTCTGCAAGGAATGATAGCGCAACCATCAGCTTTTGAGGCTTGGATATTTGGCCAACACTTTTCAAAAATGAAAAAAGTGAGCTTTTTTGTTACTTCAAGAAAAGATTTAGCTGATAGATGACAATCTGAGTATCAGACACTTGCATTTGCCACTCTGAGGTTGGCAGCTTCCTGATACTTTAGTATTTTTTGGATGAGGTCAGTGATGATTTTACAGAATGTGATTTTATTTATGTTATGTGACAGTGTTCACAGTTGGAAGATCCACACACTCAGTGAACCGTATGTAATGTCACGATATCATGCGCGGGCAGGAGAGCCATTCAAAGTACAAGACCGGGGGCCGAAGATTCAGCTCCGTGCACTGCACCTCCCAAAGGCAAGGTCCTGAGTTCAGTTCCCGGTACTGAAAACAAAGCGCAGGATGGACAGGTGGATTCAATGTACGAAGCATGGAAGGTCACTGACGCAGAATTAGACTGTGGCCCTTTGCCACCTGCACGTCTTCACACACCTCCCCCGAGATGAGGTACTGCAGCGGACTGAATCGAGAAGCAGATGCGATAATTCAGCTGTGTTATATGTATTCAAGATTGCAAAAGTATAAAGCAATGTCAATCTATTTTGTGAAAATAGCTATTTATTAGAAAAATATTATTTTGGTCAACATATTTATTTATTAATAAATATGTTATTTATCCATTATTTATTTTTGTGGTGCTGAAGATTGAACCTAGGGCCTTTGCACTGATCTACGTCCCAACTCCCTTTACCCTTTGAGACAGGGTCTCAGTAAGTAGCCCATGCTGGGCTCAGATTTGGGATCCTACAGCCACAGCTTCCCAGGGTACTAGGATTTCAGGTGTGTACAACCTTGCCTGGTAAATTATTACTTTTAAATTAATTAGTATGTAAATATTTTTCAGTGTCAGTAAATAACGATATACTTAATCTATGTGAACATAAAGTTCTTTGGGGTCTCCATTAATTTTGTAAAGTAGAAAGAGATTCTGAGGGACCACGGATTTAGCTCAGTGGCGCTGCCACCTGACTTGCAAGTGCAAGGTCCTGAGTTCGATCCCCAGAACAAAAACTAAAAAACAAAATTACCCACAAAAAGAGATTCTGACGTAGACAGTTCTGAGAACTGCTGCATTATGCTATTGTTCCCTTCACTTGTCTTTTAACCAGTATGAGGGTGCCTTAGATTGCAAACGGACTGTGGTGCTGAGGGATTCAACTGAAGATTTACTAAAATGGAAAACTTGTTGTTCGGATTATTTTTTTTAGCAGGAAGTTATCAAAATCCATTTTGTTTTGTTTCATTTTTTTGAGACAGGGTCTCACTATGTAGCCCAGGCTGGTCTGGAATTCACAGTGATCCTCCTGCCTTAGCCTCCTGAGTGCTGAGATTATAGGCGTGACCCACCATACTTGGCTTCAAAATCTTATTTTAACATTCCTGGTAGAGTTAAAAGCCTTTTGGTTTTAAGATCTGAACCATTCTGAAAGGTGAGCTTGCCTTATTATGGGAATGAGACCGTAAGAAGCCTTCTGTACTCCAGGCTCAGGACTAATGCTGGAAACAGGGTGCAGTTCTCAGTCCAGAAAACATTCTCCCAGGGCCCTCCAGATAGACTCCAACAGCCTAGGAGGGTTCTTACCATGGAATATTTTGAAGAAAGTATATTTTCCTTATAATCATATTTTGATAGAACATGAAAGGTCATTGTCAGTAGTCTCCTGCTGGGATTAAAATCTGAAACTTTTTAATTTCAGAATTATTATTATTTATTTTGTTCTTTCAGTATGGGAGAGCAAATCCAGAGCTTCATGTCTGTTAGATAAAGCACTTCGCTAACTGAGCCATTGCTCCAGCCATAAAACTTTATGTTAACAGTGGGAAAGCCAGTACCAAATGAATGAACGAATACATATCTCTAAATTGTCCTTTCACATTTTCAGTTAGTGTAAGCTCAACTGAATATAAATTTTAAAAAATGACAGTGACAAGCTTTTACAGGAGAAAATTAGTAGCAATGTAAAAATCCTTTCAGATTATACAACAACAGTGGTTTCGCCAGCATATTCTGAATCTGCTAGCTTTGTCTTTACCTGAAACAGCAGGTTCAAAAGGTACATATAGTACTGAAATACGTATAGCCCTATCATTTCTACTAATGGCCCCCGACCGTTTTTCATAATTTGCATGCCATTCTAGCACTCTAGGAAAACATTTCCCTTAAGAATAAGAAAACACTCTTTCTTGTTCTCATTTTAAGGGCTTCCTATACTTCTAGAATCAGAAACACATCAAGACAAAGATGATAAAATCATTCTGGCCCCAATTTTTCCAGAAACACATTACGCTATTTGTATGTAAATCACATAACAACCATGACACACATAATCTAAGCATCATGCCAGTGTGCAATATCCCCAGCTATGTGAGCTCTAGCAGTTCCCGGTGATCAGAGTTCTGTGACCCACCAAATGGAAAGGAGCCAGAAATCGCAAGTTCAGTGACAGGAGACGAATGAGGGCCAACTTTGATGGGATTAGTTCTTCAGTAGGTGAGGTTTAGGCTCTCATCAAAGTACCTACTCTTTCTTTTGGCAAATCCTAGCCTGTGTTCTTGCTAGAGGCACAGTTTCCTCAATGATTATTTCAGATGTAGAAAATTAAACGAATTCAAGGAAAAAAAATGAAAGAATGCTGCATATACAAACTAGTACAATGTAACTAAAAGGATGTAAAAGACAGAAGTATGCTAGAAAAATTCTCCATTTCATCACACCCCTACCCCACTACTGTTAACAGTCTCTACCTGGAAAACACCAAGTCTGTCTACAAAATTAGATGTTAAAATGGCCTCACCAATTCATTTTCATATTATAGACATCTGAGGAACAACCCATTAAAATAAGTTTTAAAAACGCTTGTTAATATTTTGCATTTAATATGAATTAAAAGTATAAAATGTAACTCATAAAAAGATTCCCTTAAATCTATATCAATTGCAATCCCCTCCCTAAATATATAACCCCTGTAATTAGTTTATTTTTTCACTTTCATCACTTTATCTTTAATTCATAAATAATAACTGTATATAGTATTGGCACACAGTCTTGATGGTTTGTTTGTTTGTTTTGTTTTTTGAGTCAGGGTCTCACTGTGTAGTGAGACTGACCTGGAACTTACTATGTAGCCCAGGCTGGTCTCGAACTCACAGCGATTCTCCTGCCTCAGCCTCCCGAGTGCTGGGATGACAGGCGTGCACCAACATGCTCGGCTTGTGATGTTTTGATGTATGTTCATCACACAGCTAATGAGTTAACAGTCATGCCCCGCCCTGGTGAACCTTTCAGAGGCAGCTCTGACTTAGAGTCCGACACAAACTGCAGAGAAGCCTCAAAGTCAACCACAATCTGGCAAAGCTGCACAGGATTCCACCTAAGAATACATTTTCTATTTCTTCAGGATCAGACCTGAACATTGTAAAATCTAAGTGAAATACCCTTTACAGAACAGTTTAATACGACACTCTTACTGATGAATTTTTTAGAACAATCTGACAAGACTGAGTACGCTAAGAAAAATAAGATCTGTTTCCTTAAGCAGGACTGTGATAGGTAACCACATAAGCATGTAAGTTATAGCACTTAGCAGCGACAACTTGTTCGGACTGAGGCTCCCCAGTGCACCAAGTACTCACATCCGGAATGAAGCCGATCTCGTTGAGATGGTTGCTCAGCTCGGGGTCGTGGAACGCAATCATCTGGGAGAACACGGTCAGATACTCTGCGCGACAGCAAAGCTTCAGACATCGCCCTGACAAATTCACTCCAAGACACGTAATGCAAATAAAAAGGCTTAATCTATACTCGACCACATTTAATTTCTCCATGAAGAGAATATGCCTGAATAATTTTCTTTTTTTTACTACTTCATGCTCCTGATTATTAAACAAATATACCAGAAACTATGCCATAACTTCTTTTCTGCCTTTGGGGTTATCAATTTATTTCTTAAAGCATAAATTGTATATATGAATGTTTTCTTATCAAATTCTATAAATATTTTCTCTAGTAATATTAAATCCGTTTCACATTTACTGAATGTTCAAAGTATAACAGATCCCTAAGTAAGAAACATTTATAAACAGTCACAAAGTCATGCTTCAAGTTTGTTTATATTACGGATTTAGGCATCTATTTCAGTTTTAATTTATTTTCATCCAACATCTCCATTTGACTTATTTAGCAGTGAGAATTAACATTACGTTAATCAGAACACACTGCAGACAATTAAAAATACCTTGTGTTGATCAGAATCCAGTCCTAATTCATAGGGTTAAAATGGAATGTGAGAAATAAATTCTCATTTTTTCCAGTGTTTCAATAACTTATTATGGTTTATCAATTAATTTACAGGTACTAATTTACCCAAGATGATGGTAACAATCTACTCTAGTGCAAGTATCCACTGTACTTTCACTCACTAAAAAGACAAAATTAATACACATTTCATTGCGTTTTTGAAATTAAAAACACAACTCAAGAAGAACATCAGCCAAGAGGAAACAATCCACATGTGCTGTCTTCCATCTGGTGGTAAAGGCCCGTCCCTGTTTGACCGGTGGGGGTCCTGCTCAGGCTGGATGGAGAGTGGAGCTCAACTAAGACCATCCCACCCACTTTCAGAGCCACAAGTCAAAGTGAAGATCAGTGTACGCGTGAAGGCTCCGGGGAACTCTTTGGTTTAAGTTTGTCTCTCCTTCTAATTAGCGATGGTATGTTTACAGCCAGTTAGCACAGAAGCCAAAGGTTTGTAACATCAGCCACCATGAGCACCCAAGTGTGTACTGATAAGTATATAATTACTAACTTCTAACTTCTAAATTAGAAATTCATGCCTCAAGCAATTCTCCACAGCTATGCTCCTATTTATTAAGTATCATCCTTACTTGAGCCTGATAAAATTAATTACTATGTGGATATACATGGTGAATTAACGATCTACTGAAGAGACCTAATTCATTATGGAAACATTTTCCATATGTCCTGCCAAATATTGATAGCTGGCTTTATATGTTATAGCTGCACGTTCACATACATACAGAGAGACATTCTACATGTTGTTGTGGATACGTTATGTCATATATGTAAATATGATTTATAAAGTTGACCTAAGTTACAGCTGCACAGCACAGGGTGTCACGTGACATGGAGCACGGCCTGTTAGTGAGCTTTCTTTCCTACTGGGGGCAGAGGACAGAAACTATGAAATAAGCACTGTATTATATTCCAGTTTACTGCAAGAAAGCATTTAAAACTCCCCTGGAGTAAATTTTAAAAATTAAAATACATTCTTTTAATTGTTTAAAATATTAGATATAAGGAAAATGACACCTACTGAGCTTAAGTTTCTGCCCAACACTATACGATAGTACGAAAGCTTAAATCTGAAGCCTTTCATTAAAAAATATGTATTTTTAACTTCTGTTCTGCTACTTTCAAAATGGAGCCTAGAAAATTGGATTAGAAATGTGAATGCAGCTGAAGTCAGCCTGAATGAATTCACAGATACATCGTGGGATCAGCTGGATTCTGAAGGAGAAGATGACTTAGGGAAGCAAAAGAGGAGTATATGGAGCGCTCGGGCTTCGGGGGCGAGATGGAAGAGAAGCGTTGTTAAGGCACAAGGTTTAAACTCTGCGCTAATTCTCTATGGCTTACTCCATAGTAAAACATTCAATCTTCTCACGAGAGAGACAAAGAGGAGCCCCTTATTTTCTAAAATTTCCATGACTGCATTTGAATTAAACTGCCAGACATTAAGCAGTCATTAGGAAATGAACATACTTCTCGGTGGACTTGAGATATTGTCTACCCTTCATGAGTTTCAAGGATGGACCATCAGCATAGTTCAGTGGGTCCAAATCATAATTTAACTAGTATTGGTTATTTTTGACATAAGTATTTTCCCTGTAAAAGGATAAGACACAATATGTGCTTACCTTGTATTACATGTGAGTTGTCTTTCAAGAAGAAGTTATACAGGTATTTGGGAATAAAAGCAGACATACACGCATAAGCCAGGGCTAAAAAAGAATAAGACAAAAATTGCTTAGTAGAGGTTTTCACTCCTTCAGCACACATTCATGAAGTCCATTATTCAGCAGTAGTTATGGTAACAGGTGCAGGAAACATAAAATTAAGGCAAAAAAACCCCACTTCTCTTTAAAACAAAATATTTTGAACAACAAAAGATAATCATCCTAGTAACTTCAATTTCAAATTACTGTGACATTATTCTACAATAATAAAAACTTTTGTTACTTGATTTTTAAAAAATTCTTAAATGACCATTATCAATGAGCTATAAACCTCATAATCTTAATTACTGATCATGCAAAAAAGAGCCCAAGAATTCTGAATTTAGAAATAGTAGTTATAACCTGTACTTTCAAATACAGATCCATTACTATTTATGGATGCTATTCTTGGATCAATTTAAATAATATTTGGCTTTGTCTAACTAAATGCAGCAAAAGCCCAATATTATATGAATGAGTATATTAATGAATAGCATATTTTAAAAATCATTCAAACAAAGTTTTAGTTCTTTGGGATTATTCTTTTTCAACCTAATGTTTTATATAGTAACATATGTGACATAGAGATTTAGAATCTCAATTGAATTTAACAAATACATATTAAATTTCACCGTAACAGATACTGTAACTGAGGCATAAAACCCCCAAACCTGTCATTAACAAAATAAGTTGTCAAAAAAGAGTAGCCAGAATACAAAACAGACACAAGATAGGTTTCCTGAAATGCACAGTGTTGTGTACCTTCAGAAAGGAGAATAAGAAGTCTTCATCCAAGAAGTACATTTGAGATGGTAAGTTTTAGAGTTGCAAGATTTGGGAGAAACGCAGTCAACAATGATTTCTTTGCAAATTATTTAGAAAGTACAGTACCTTAAACTATGCTCTAAGGAAGTCAGAATCTCCTCTCAGGTTTCATAAAAATGGCCATGAAAGTAGGTAAACGAACTTAGACTATATCAGTGTAACTCCCACCAAATCTCTAGTTATAGCCTTGTCATAATGGAAACTCTCCAGGAATAAGTTAATCCTTCCTACCCTCAAAGATGAATATAACAGACTATTTCATAAAATTTTACATTATCTACAAGGTAGAGTGTGAAAACCTTAAACTCAAATATTCTAGAACAAAAGAATTATTTTAGAATTATTATCTACATGATAAAGAGGCTTACCTTCATTATTGAAATTTAGGTACAGGAATGGAGCACAAAGTGAGTCAAGACCTGATGCAGAGAAGTTGGACAAAGGAGTCAAACAAAGGCAACCCAACAGGACTGTGGATACATACTCAGTTCTCAGCACTGCCTCCAAGCAGAGAGGCATTACAAGTGCTAGCCACCAAGACATCTATGTTTTCATGAATTACTGTGAGAAATAAATAATAGTGTCTGAACATAGTTCATGTCCAAAACAAATCAGTTGTTATTATCAGTATTTTTATAAGGTAAAGAGCAATACAGCAATCAAAAAAAATGTAAAATGTTAGAAGACTGGAAACAGTTCCATCTGATTATACCTGTGACAATTACTTAACATCTTCAGGTGTGTTTTCTTTCAAGGAGAGGGATATTTGTCTTATATGTTCTTTCTCTTTGGCATTATAAAGAAAATCTTTTAAAATTGAGAAGTAAAATACACAAATTCATCTATTTATTTTAATGATAATAATGATGTTCATATGTTGTCACATCGAAGGAATGCACATAAATCTATCAACACTGTGTGAGGAGGATATAGAACATCTGAGAAATGTACTAAGCTAGGAAAAACAATACCTTCATTTTACTAAGTATGGCCACTAAGAAATACAAAATTTAAATATAAAACCAACTGCTCAGAGCAGAACATTCTAAAATAGGGTTGAGTGAAATGGGTTTCTCGATCATGAACTTGTTGGTGACCATACAAATAAAACTGACATTTGGGCTGAGGATGTAGCTCAGTAGTAGAGTGCATGCCTCGTATGCATGAGGCCCTGGGTTTGGTCAGCAATCCCCAACCCCTCTCAGAAAAATTACAAAGCAAAAATATCAAGGATCTGAAGCACTAGAGAGTAAAAAGAGACAATAACAATAGGATGTGTCATATGCATGTATCAACTCCCTACCATGAATATAATCATTATGTACTGCAAATGTGCTAAAAAAAAATTTAAAAAGACAATAAATAAAATGATCATTTTTAGAGTGATATCCTGTGCTTGATTCCTAATCAACTATGAGCAGCACAAGTGAGGAATCATTAAATAGTAAAAATCTCAAATAGCCCCAAATTATGGCACAAACTTTATTATTTGCATAAATTTAAAAATGTATCCACAAATTTTTAAGAAGTACCAAGCATCCTGCTTTTCCTAGACATGTGTTTGTAAGTTGTTTAATTTTAACTACCACATATTAAATGATATCTGCTAGGCATGTAGACAAAGTTTTTAAAAACAGTCCTCATAAACTTTTCAAAAATTAATCAGAGCTGGGTCAGGGATTTAGCACAGTGGTGTCACCGCCTGCCTCCCAAGCGGAAGGTCTTGAGTTCAATCCCTGGTATGACAAAAAAATCAGAGCTTTAGTGCTGACTCTGCTCAAAACAAAGAATGGTTGATAGCTTACATTTACAAATTATCAGTCATGTAGCAAGTCCCTATGACTAAAAGAAGTCTTAAAATGAAAGGTACCTTGCCAATACACAAGATCAGGATGAGACACTACCCAAGCCTTCAATACACGCCTGAATTTGGCATGACCTTCAGGTGAAGATAAAAGTTCATCGTACTGATGACAGCGAGGGATATCCACTTCAATCTGTGAAATCACACAGCAGTGACACACAGCCATGACAAAATGACCCCTAAGACATTCCCCAAATAACAAGAGCACAGAGTATAACGTGACCTTCAGAGGGTCCCACCTTCATGACCCTAGTATCTAAAGTGTTTGAATGTTTTATTCATCTTCTAGAACCCCAAAGAAGTTGTACACATGATTAAACACAGAAAACAGACGTTCTTTTGAAAAAGTATATATTAGTACAACTTACAGTATTAATACGGTGTTCAAAAATATGGTCTAACTTGGTCTAAAGAAAAGGCAAATTTTTCAGGTGAGAAGTATAACTTTTTAAAAACAATGTTGCTTGACCTGAAGACCTTTAAAGTGTTATTCCAACTCAATAATTTATGAACATTTTCAAACACCATAATATTTCACAGAAGCTGAGTATTCATAATGAAAGAAAACATTCCTCATGGTCTTCTGAAGTTTAAATATTTGGAAGATCTAAGGAGGTGCTTACTTGTCTATCTGTGGGAATTGGAGTGTCCTTATCAACTGCATCATACTTATCATGAATAGCTCCCTGCAAAATTTAAAGGAAAATGTCAATTCATTATGTGTAATAAAACTGGTAATACCTGCTGAACATCTCCTATCCTAAATATGTGAGAATAGACATATCTCAGACACAGGTACAGTAATGTATTTGCAAATTTACTGGTTGAGTTTCTCTAATCTGAAAACCTAAATCCAAAATTGGAAATATTTTAACTGTGATGTCGGCACTCAAAAATTATTAGATTTTAGAGAATTTCAGATTTTTGGATTAGTAATGCTCAATAGGAAAAACCACCTTCTTATAAATATCTATTTTTGACAACCTACCTAACTACAGATAGGTACATTCAAATACAAGTTATACCTCAACTAAGAGAAGTCCTCCACATTCTTTCTGATGTGTGATAAGGTCCGTGGTTAGTGACAATCTACCATGTTGGTGAAGCAGACTGCAATTTATCCACATCAAGAAGTAAGGGTCCTGCGTGAGTCACTTACCCAGTGAACAGAATACAATATAATTTTGTTCTCTGTTCACTGTTAACTCATAAATAACACATCTCATCAAGAAAACTTTTTGGTGGGGCAGAGTCATCCTATAGGAAAATTTTCTGTTAAAGTTCATAATTAAAACAAAAATAAAAGAAAAATAATAAATCAAGGAGCAATACTTCATTATCAGGAAACAGAGGTTTAGGATAGAGTGGATGTCACATAATTATACAACAATTTGGAACTGAGAGGGTCAGTTATATTTTTTGGCTATACTGTTCACAGAAGGAATATTTGAAAAAAACTACTTCAGATTTTGGTCATGTTCTATAGAATCAAGCATGAAAACCTTATTCAGAATTCCAGCTCACCATCAAGATACAGAAAGAGCCAGGAATTTGGTGACATTATTTGCTGTACCAACTTCTTCGGGAAAGCTAAAAAGTGAGAGATTTGGACAGCCTGACAGTAGAAGTCCCCTCATTTGAGGACTAATTATTATTATATGGCACAAAATAGCAGACATTCTTGTAAAATAATCAGCTCTTCTCAAAGATATTTCTAAACTTTCATCAATGCAATCAGGAATGAAGAAAAGAAATTCTTCCAAAAGAGGAAAAGGATTAAAAATGGTTGGAGAGAGGGGCCGGGGATTTAGCTCAGTGGTTCCGCTGCCTGCTTTGCAAGCACAAGGTCCCAAGTTTGATCCCCAGTACCAAAAATAAAGGCAAACAAGCAAAAAAACAAAAACAAAACAAAACAAAAAAAAACAGATGGAGAAACTAAAAGGATGGAAAACATGTACAAAATTATACAGGAAGGCAGGATGAAAAGAAATTAATAAGAAATGATAAAATCTGAAAGGATGTGGCCCATTATTATGATTTCTGTCACCAGAGTTCTTGTTAGTTTAACAAGCCACCCTAATAATTTTTTGACAACTCTCCTTATCTCACAACCATGGATAAAATGCTGTAGAAGAAAAACTGGCTATGTCTCTCACAGCATGATCCAAGTGGAGTAAATGTGCCAAAAGAATTAAAATTATGTTTACAATTTTGAAGCACAGATTGGTATGAAAGATGTGCAACTGTGTAAAAAGAAAAAATCACATTCAAAAAAAGAGTGTCATCTATAAGCAAAACTTCCTACCTATATATGACGGACATTAATATCTGATTTCAAATTTAATGATGAAGATATTTTCTATGAAAACCATTAAACAGCATAAATCTTCAATTAAATTTTCAATTAAAATTTTCTATTCTATTCCTTGCATGTATTTCTTCCACTTAAATTTACAAACTTTCTTATGCTCTTATTTTACTATATAAATTTTCTAACACAAAATATACAGAAATATACAGAAAATGCTATCCTGTTTATCCTCTTTGTAAAAATCACAAATATAGTCAATGTTTAGTTTAAAAAATTCATGCCTATAAAAGCCACGTTGCCATTAATCCCCATCAATCCTCACTTCAAACACACTTACCCCATCATTCTTGCCACCTCCTGTAATAGGTACGGGGTCTTCTTTTGTGGGTGTCTTTAGTTGCGCTTTTGTGGCTGCCTCAAAGCTCTAAATGTATGCTAAATATTCATTTTTCAAGGTCACTTTGATTTTGGGCAAGAGCCAGAAATAAGGTGGATAAAGTAGGTAAGGAAATACCATAATTTTTTGATAGAAACTGAAGTAAATGTTTAATTAATGAGTGGCAATCAAAGTATGGTGAATGTTTAAACTAAAAATTTATTACAGTAAAAGACACATTGCCATTAATCTTGCTTTTGATACATTTGCCCTATAATTCTTGGCAATGTGTCTTTTACTGTAATAAATTTTAAAAAGAAATTTAAACACTCAGCACATTTTTGATCGCCCCTTGTATTAATCCACTTCCAATCTCCTCTTCTTGCTCTTACCTCAACCCCCAGAAGAGCAGCCCAGGTCAAACCTCTCACAAGAGGTGGAATGTCAACTCTTGCTTCTTTCCAGATTTGATTTTTTTTATATGGATAAGCCTGTGATATAAAAAAAGGAAGATATTTTCAGAAAATTTAAATTATATCAAGTACTTTTCCTAACCATAATGTAATAAAACTATGCAGTAAGTTCAAAAACTTCAGAAACTATATAGATACATAGAAATTAAACAACATACTTCTCAACAACCAACCAATGAAGAAATTAAGAAAATTCAAAAACTTTTGAAATGAATGATAATAGAAACAACCTAAGATCTATAGATATAGTAAAAGCAATACTGAGAGAAATTTACTGTAATCTATGAGTACATAAAACAAGCAGAAACATGTCAGACAACCTATCATATTTCAAGGAACCAGAGAAACAAGAACAAGCTAAACCCAAATTTAGAATAACAAAAATCAAAGCAGAAATGAAAGAGACTAAAACAAAAATATGGAAGATTAATGAAATGAAATTTATTTATTTTTGTTTTGTTTTGTGTTTTGGTACCAAGGATGGAACTTGGGACCTTGCACTTGCGAAGCAAGCGGCAGAACCACTGAGCTAAATTCCTGGCCTGAAAATTTAGTTTTTAAATAAAATTGACAAACCCTTCACTACACTAAGAAAAAAAGAGAAAGGACTTAAAATCACAGAGGAAAATGTGGACATTATAGCTGGCACTACAGAAATACCAAACACCAGTAGAAAGCACTACGGAACACGTATACTCCAAAAAAATTTGATAACCTACAAGAAATGAATACATTCCTGGACACATAACCTTTCCAAGACTGGATCAGGAAACAGTAGAAAATCTCAACAGACCAAAGACAACTTAACAAGACTGACTCAATAATAAAACCCCCTCCCCATCAATGTTACAGCTATTTGATCGTTTAAGGAACTAATACCAACTCTTCTCAAATCACTGTAAAAAACTGAGGTGAAAGAAGTCTTCCAAACATATTCTATAATGACATCATTACCCTGAAACCAAAACCAGACAACACAACAAAAAATAAAACTACAAGTCTATATACCCGAAATGAAATGCAAAAACCTTCAGCAAAATATAGGCAAATCAATTCCAACAGCAAATTAAAAAAGTTTCTCCATGATCTAGTGGTATTCATTTTAGCGATGTGAGGATGGTTCAAAATACAGAAATGAATAAATGGGATATGCAGGAGATACATGTGTTAGCTCAACATCCTTTCATGATGGAAACCCTGAGTAAACTGGGTATAAAGAAATGTACCACAACATATTTACAATTTGTATTACATTGTGTACTTTATCCATTTATCTGTGTACCATTTCAATATTGGTACTTTTTCCTATTAGTTTTTAAGTCTATTTTAAAAGAAATATTAATCCTTTTTCCACTACATTCTCACAACTTGTTTTACTTTTTAACTTTATTTACGATGAACTTATTCTTATAACAAAAGAAAGTTAATCTGAAAAGATAATGACATCAAGAATCTCTAAGAAAGCGCAGCGTAACTCTTGTTAGCACCGCTGCAGGAGCCCTACCTGGATCAGCCTATCGAAGAGCGCGATTCTGTTGAGCTGATACTCAGTATCTCTCTCTCTGATGATCAAAGGGAGCGTGGCTGCTGCGGACAACTCATTACTGCTGTTTGAGTGAGGCAAATTAGACTGGCTGGGAAAGCCGAACAAAAGCAACAATATTGACAAAAGGAACAAAATTCTAATAAGCCAAAACACCACTTCCAAATGTTCTGTTTAGAGAGTACTCTTTGTAGAAAATGTACAAACTTACCGGTCTAATACAGAGGAAAAAAATGCAAAATGAGACTATATATACTCACTCATCTTCTAGTAATGGATAAAATGCTTCTCCACCAACATCTTTTAATCTCTGTGAATTTAAGGAGAAAATATTTATGTATTGCTATCTTAGGCAGCAACACTGAACTTTAAAAAAAGTTAAAAATTACAAATTTATAAAGATCATCAAGAAAAATATCAAGTAGGGTCTAAAAATTAGCTTTTATCTTGTGTTAGTTGTAAATGTATATGGCAAACTCTAAGCAATTTTAAGAGATGTACAAAATACTCTGAGAAAGCAGAGAAAATGGAAGCATGTAAAAGGCTCAATTAAAACCAGAGAGAGCAGAAAAAGAGTAAAAAGTAAGTGGCAGCAGCAACAGTAAAGGGTAATGGAGAGAAAACAGGACATAGATGGTACATATCAATCTATGTATTAATAATTATTTTAATGTGCATGTTCCAAATAAAGCAATTACAAGACTGAGACTATCAGTATGGATACAAATACAAGGCCCAAATATATGTGTCTATAATGAACTCATTTTAAACCTAAAGACACAGAAAGATTAAAAATAAAGGAATGGAGAAAGATATAACATGCTAACAACAATTAAAAGAGAAGTGAAATGGTTATATTAATTTAAAATAAGGTAGAGCTCTGTCAAGGACAAATATGATACAAATCAATCTATAAAATCTCCCACAAGAAGCAGATAATCTGAATAAGATTATTAAAGAAGTTGAATCAATCATGAATAATCTTCCTAAACAAAAGCCTTCAGGCCCAGATTGAGCTCACTGGTAAATAATACCAAACATTTAGAAAAGAAATTATAGTGACCTCTTAGAAAACAGAAGTGGATGGGGCTGGGGATTTAGTTCAGTGGTTCCACTGCCTGTCTTGCAGGTGCAAAGTCCTGAGTTCAATCCCCATTCCTAAATCTCTGAGGACAGCATTACTCTACTACCAAAGACGACAATAACGTTCCAAGAAAAGAAAACTGCAGACCATTATTTTTCATGAGCACAAATGCACAAATTCTCAACAAAATAGTACATTTGAGTCAACATAGTGAATGAAAGATGATGATACACTATATCCCTATATCCCCAAATGAATTCTAAGCAATCAAGACTGATAAGCATTCAAAAATCAATTAATACAAACCATAAGATCCTCAAGTTAAAGTGAAAAAACTTATAATCATATCAACACATGCAGAAAAACTTTTGACAAAATCCAATACCCATTCTTGTCAAAACTCTTAACAAACTAAAAATAGAGGGGAACTTCCTTATCCTGATAAAGAACATCTCTAAAAACAAAGCTAATACAATCATCAAAACAAGACGCTTCACCTGTTTTTAAAGGCCCTAACATATGTAACATTAAATAGTGATTACAAATAAAATAGAAAACCTGAATAGACTCATAACCATTTAATACATTGAAACAGTGATTACAAATCCACAGAGGACAGGAAGGAACCCTCAAAATAGGGTAGTACATGGAACATTAAAGAAATAGATATATGTAATCCTGTACATAAGGTTTTTCAGAAAGTAGAATAAAGGTAATGCTCTCATATTCACGTTATGTGACTAGTATAGCTCTGACACCAAATCAATGAGAGATCACTTAGAAATACTGATAGAAATGAAAACTAGTAATGTACGGAATAGGTGAGCAAACAGCTCAAAAAGAGACAACTAAAGTAGGGATTAGTATGATAGCAGAATCCTATTTCATAACCATAGAGTAATTATTATTTTAAAAATTATTTTAAAAATTTGATAATGCCAAGTATTATCCCTTAAGTGCAAAAATCAGAACACTTATCCAATGATGGTGAAAAGAGACAAATTCATAAAATAACTTTGTGGACAATTCGACACAAAAAATTCTGATGTTGTACAGGTGTTTTCCTGTAAGTCCATTTTCATGCATGTACTTTACAGAAGCTTGCATATCATTTTATGAAATCAGGGAGAAACACAAGGCTTCATTTGTGTCTTTAAGGTTGTAATACTTAAAATTTGGGAGCAACTTGACAAACTATTATTCTTACATTTCTCAGCTGGCATAATGACAATGTCACTGTGGTATCATCTAAAAGTGAGCTTCTATCTCGGCCTTGTCCGAAGCTTTCACCATCTTCAAAAACAAAACTGAAAGAATTTTTAAAAATTATTATTATATGGAGCCCATTTTCCTAAGTCATAATCTCTTCATCAAGAATAAGTAAATTTTAGAGTGGGTAGTTAATTTAAAACAATGTTAACTGTTGGTTGAGATCTCCCAAACAAGTCCTGTTTTTAGATCTCTGGGGTTGGTATGAATATAGCACACATGTACAGAGCATTTCAGGCATGCAAGATGTCACAGCTCTTTGTTTTTGTAAGCACAACATAAAACTACTGAAATTATTCCAATATGTTCCTGAGAAAGTGGATTGGTGAAAACTGAAAAAAGGAGGAAGAAACAGCATGTGGCAACCTCTGTGGGAAAAGTACTGTATTGGATAACAAAGGCATGCAACCTGATCAGAATTTCAGAGTTACTTTTAAGAATGTATTTGTTTTGGAATTTTTCTTGGAATTTCTATCATTCCATTGCTGAATAATTCAGATGCTTGGTATGACTGAAGTTAATATCTACAGGGAAAAAAAATAGAAAGCTAATGGTCTATTCAAATCTAAAAATTTAACAATGAAATTTAGAATAACTAGGGCCGGGGATTTGGCTCAGTGGTTCTGCCACCTGCCTTGCAAGCACAAGGCCCAGAGTTTGATCCCTGGTACTGAAAAAAAAAAAAGAAAAAAGAAATTTAGATTGATTATAATAGGGGTAAATATGAACTAATAAAGATACTTGATTTGTAAAATGTTTTCAAATCTATGAGTTGCTTCTAAAGATGTTAAATCACACTAGCAAGAATTACCAGTGCCTTAAACAAATTTCTTAATTAACAACAGTTTAAATTTTTAAAAAATTAACAATGATGAGAAATGGTGGTTTCTACAATTACCCACAATGATCAAATCTGTCCCACAATCTAAAATTAAAACTTTAAAGGTTGGCAGAAGCTCCATAAATGCATATCCATTTTTCATTAATAAATGTAACTAAAATGTTATGATAAAGACAACAATGGCCCTCAGGGCTTCAGTTATTTAACTTTGGGTCTAATTTATAGCAGGTGTTTTGCAGATAGTTCTCCACTTCGAGTATGCAGAGTGATGACATCCAGTACGTGCCGTGGGGCCACAGAGTTCATTTACAGCTATAAATAGATTTGAAAAAGACCACAGTTCTTCATAATCAGCCAACCTAGGCCAGTTTATTATATTAATTATCTGAAGTATTGATGTTTCAATTCATACATTTTTCACTATTGTCAATTATAGCAAGACGTTCTGTAACACTAACTCTACTTCAAGTAGATCATAAAGCAAGGTATTAAAAGATAATTATTTAAAGATGATAAAAAATATTGATGGGAACTAAGGCCAAACAAGGGGTTCCTTTCAGTTGCTTCCACAATCACTTTTTTGGCTTGTCAACCAAAGGAAAACAACATCAAACAGTTTTTAATGTTATTATCAGGTCACCACCCCTCCCATTCCCAAGAGAAGTTTTTTTCCTTACTTGGGGAGGGTGCAGATAGGGGGTTTGGATCGGATGATTTCCTTATTAACAAGCTCTTTCTCCAAGTCACCGCCAGCTAAACACCAAAGGTAATAAACTTCCTCAATGGATCTTTCTGCCAGGTAATCACTGTCTATATCTATTAATAGCAAATTAAAAAGAATCATTAATCACAATGTTTTTAATTAAAATTCAACAGGCAATAATAGCTGACATTCGGAAAAAAGTAAAAACCTGAAGAACAAATGTCTCATTATAACTGTATAAGTCTGTAAGAAGCCTGGAAGTTGCCGCTTCACATAGCAGGGAAAGAGCTGAACAGATCAACATTTCTTCTTAATGTGGAAGAGAGGTAAGGACATAGGGAGATCTACTGCCCCAAAGACTGTAAAGAAGAACAAAGGAACACAGGAGTTGCACCTCACTGTGCAGGAAATACCTCAGGAACCAGTCAGAGCGGGAAATGTGAACTGTAATTGACAAATTGCTGGGGCTCAGTGTGTCCAAGACCTATTTTAAAACTGCAGGGGACTCAGTCACTGGAGGACCCCCACCCCTCTGTGACATTATCTCTGGGAGTTGGACCAGTTTCTCACAGTAAACACTGCAGGAAAGTGTCCTGGTGCTCCTGGCAGTGGGAGGAGGAAATGGAATCATTTGGAAATACAGAGCGCCCTGTTCTTAACAAGTCGTCCTCAGGAGAAGCTGGTTGGTCCAAGCCTAACTGACTGGGGGAAGGAAAGTCCTCAACTCCATTCTGCTTCAGCTTTCTGTGGTAATTTGGCACAGGAAAGGAAAAGCATCCTACAGTCATGTGATTAGGACTCTGTAATGTGGGCAGCCTGTGCCTTCTGCCCTTAGGTAGGACAGGATGGCCAGACAGCTGGAGACATGCCTCCTTTTCTCTGTCAAGGTGAGACGCCACTGATTCATTTTGTGTAATTACCCAATTGCTCCTGGCTGAAAAATAATGTCCTAGTAAAAGTGGCTTATGCAATAACAACCATTTAGGGGCTGAAGTTTGTTAAACGTCTAGACCCCTGTCCTGCATCCAAAAGAGAAGGTGAATGGCTACATATTGCAGTACCTTTCTCGTCAACAAAGAAAATACTTCCTAGAAGAAAGTCTCATCCAAGTGGACTTCCACTTAGATCTCATCAGTCAACTTTAGCACACTAGCCTACTTCCGTCTATAGCAAGAGAAGCTAGGAAAAAGAAAACTTGGAGCTTTTATTCTCTGTACTGGGAAAGGAGTAAGGGCAGAAAAAAGCACTTGAGTGGGCCAACAACAAAACTGTCTGCATCCCACCTATCTGAAGGCAACGGCTGCCTCTGAGAAGTGTTTGTTGGTGTCACAGGCAGTTAGGAGCCCTTCAGCTGTTTCCACTGTGCTGGGCTTCTATGCACCTACTTTTAAAATAGGGATTATCTAACTAAATGTCTGCCTTCACACAGACGTTAAGGATTCAGTGTGTGGTATATAGGAGAAACTCAATAATTATATGAGTATTTAGTAAATGTTTTCTGTCATGACTTACGTTAACTTCAGTCTGAAAGTAACTTACAGGTATCTAAACAACACATTCTGAGAGTTAAAATCTTTACATGAGAGTGAAAACTTATTGTCTTTGACAGGTAAAATATAATGGCATGGATAACCTATCAATAATATGATTTTTACAAATCATTTATAAATTTTTATAGAGCATTAATAACAAATTTAAAGGTTTAAAATTTGAGGCAAGTTTTCTTTTAAGTACTGCTAGAATCATCCCTTAATTCTTAAATAATTTTCCATAAAATTCCCACTAATATAAATGCACCGTTGACAAACTCAAAAGTAAACTAAGAGAAGGGCACTTCCTGTGGAAGCAGGGCCACCATCATTGCCCATGTTTCATTTATCATTACCTTTACACCACTGACTGATATCCTCAGGTAGAGTTAAATCAGCACATCTCAGAGAAGACGAAAACAGACTGGCAGGTTTGGTGAAGGGGGTGTATAAAGGTGACACTTCACTGAACACGCTGTCCTTCATTAATTCTTCTGGGGTTGGCCTTGAGAAATAATTTAAAATACAGTGCATGAACATGAGTTATAAAATATTTCCAAGAAAAATGACACACATTTGAGAGGATACTAAAAATCATATATATCTCATTAACACAAAAAACAACACAGCACTCCTAAACTTTTGTTTATAAACCTACTAAGATAAGAAAAGATAAACAATTTAAAGAGCAAAATAAAAATAGATAACAGGAAACAAAGACGACAGATATTCAGCCAATAGGAAGGGACCAAGAGATTGGCAGGGTAGCAAGCGAGTATTAAGAATTAAAATATGTTATGTTCACTTAGGAACTCTTCATGCTGAATGTAACAATATAAATCACAAACAAGTACTAATAAGAACTAAAAAATCAACAATATAATTCTGGAACTTATTACTATATTAGGAAAAGAATATAGTCAGAGCAAACTATTTGAGTACACCTTTACATAATGACCAAATGACTGTGAACACAGAATTATTTAATCTTGTTGTATCCTCTGTACCTTATGATCAGACCTCATTCTATAAGAGATTTTGTATTTTTTACCTTCAGTGTAACTTGTACACACCTTTTACTGAATGTCTTAAAAAATATGTAATCTAACACTTTTAAAATTTGCTTCCTACCCTTTTAATGTGGCATATTAACCCCAAACTATTTTTTAATACCATTCCTTTGTCCCTAACATTTCTTGATAGTCCCTTAAAGACAATTATACATTATTTCAAACATTACATACTACAGGAATACTTACATAACTGAGTGACAATCAAATGAAAATAAATAAAACTTTTAAGAAATCCTTTTTATATCATCGGCAATTATTAGCTATCTCAACATGTAACCAAGCTCACTGTTATAGTACATAACACCAAGTTTTGTTCCCATTTCTCTGATATTGTGGGTCTAGAAATATCAGTATTCTACAGTTAACTGATTTTGTACGTGGAGGCTAGGAAATGAGTTACTAACTTCTTTTGACATATGTCAGTTTTCTGACTATGGTTTAACTTTCATTATCTTTCATTTTATTAACAAAAGTTAAACCCTTCAATCACTCATATTTAAGATATTGATCAAATTAAGTACTACTACATATGTAAGAATAATCCATTAGTAGTACAAGAAGGGAAAATCAACTGCATATGTGTAAAGGATGTCAGAGTAATCTTCAAGTTTTAATAAAACCAACCTCTTAGAGGGATGGAAGGTCAGGCATTTCTTTAAGAGATCTATCATATTTTCAGGAAGCTCCTGGTAAGCAGAGAAAAAATTATTTTTTAATATGATCCGTTTTATAAATACATATTACTAAAATATTTGTTTCTCTAAAAGATTTTTAAAAAACCTTACAATATTTGGCTCTTATACAACTTATATTTTTTGTCAGTCCATGTAAAGAGAACTACACATAGTTTTCTGTTGGATCCCAAATTTGTAAAATTTCAAAAAACATTAACACATTGCTGTGGTTTGACTGTCTCTCTCTGAATTCCAATATGGGTGCATTCTTCACCCGAAGGGCTGGTGTAGACAGTGAGGCTGCAGGGGGCACAGCGCAATGGAGCCCTGAGCAAAATGGTGCGCTCAGCACTGCCCCAGCTCCTTTGCTCCCCAGCAGGCTTAAAGCCCCTGCTCCTGTAGCCACAGCAAAGGAGCCAGGAGAAAACACTGTAGTGTTTTTGTTCCCTATGCGAATATTTGTTCCCAGGCACAAGTATTCACTTGGAGGAGCATAAACAGGGTGAGAGAGACTTACAACCTTTTTAATGTCCAGACAACCGTGCTCTTCAGCCAGCACCGTTACAGTGTCATCCACACAGTCTACAAAACAAACGGAAACAATGCAGCCTTTGAAATCTAGCAGAGCATTCCAATCAGTTTAATCTAATTTGAATTTCAGGAGACAAACTCTGGTCAAAACTTTTGTAACGACAATGCAATTCTAGTATTTGGAATACTGAAAAATACTGATATTGTTCACTTTCCTCACATTTTTTTGATAAAATAAAGAATCTCAAACACTACATATTAATCATATGCACTAAAAATAACTTGAAGGGATAATTCAAGGAAGGTAAAGACATTGAAAGGCTTTGTTTTTTGTTTTTTCCTGGTACCAGGGATCAAACTTGGGTCCTTGCACTTGTAAAGCGGGTACAGGAACCACTGAGCTAAATCCCGGCCCCAAGGCTTTGTTTTTTCATGATTATAAAGCTAATTTATTTTTATTATTAACAATTTGGGGCCTGAACACAAATTTTGCTGGGTATGTAAGGTTTTATAGGAACTGTATTTAGCAATCTGGTAAAGTTTTATGCAATTTCATTTATAATTAATAATCATTTAATATATATTAAGACTTTTCTATAGGTATTATTCATAAACTATCTTAATTTGCATACTAACCTACCAGTTTTTTATATAAAGTGTTCTATCAGTTTCCCTTTCTTTGATTACCACATACACTTAACTTATTTCACTCTAGATTATACAAATTTTTATTAAAATGAATTCCAGTCACAAAAATACATGGGTATATTATCGGGAAACAAGCATTTATGAGTTGTTACTCATACCAGGTCAAATCACCCAAAATTAAGACTGTCTGTGTTAAACTGCTACAGACACGTGTACTTCCATATTTTCATAGTTTAGTTGTACAAGTTAGTTTATTTGATTAAATCATGAAACCAGTATTATTTCCATCCAAGTGGAAATTCCTTAATTATGAAAGCTCTACATAATAGTGTGCATATCATATTTCAGAAACGACTTAAGCTGTTCTGTTAATGCTTACCACTAATGACTAGAAATATGAAGAAAATGAGACATTTCACTATCATAGAACACATCTTCAATGTGTACCCTTACTAACAATTACTAAAATGGAAAGATCATCAATTGTATGATAGTTACCCAAAGTAAGCAAAAATTTCAGACGTTCAGAAATATCCAAGCTCTGAAATAATTTTCTTCCCTAAATAAAATGAGAAAATAAGTTCTTGTTAGTATTTACATCTACATCTCAGGGAGGTGGGTGTTGCGGGGCTGAGTGTCTTCTTTTTCATAACAAATCAATCTTTCAGGTATCTCCTTTATCTCTAGAGGCTTTACTGGCTTCTTAAAGTCAGCTGCACCAAAGACAAATTATTGGTAAAATCATATTTTATAGTGTTTCATAATACTTAAACATTCACATGTCCAAGGGTTATTACAAACTGTAGTTTAATTTAAGCACTGTTCACTGTTGACACTCACACATGCTTAGACGTCCACTGGTATTCCAGGCCAGCAGAAGCATTATGTCACTGAGAGAATACAAGGTCCCAGAAAGATTTGGATTAGCCTTTTATCTACGTAATGCTTACTTAGTATAATGACTCAGGTAGTTCTGTCTGCACTGAGAAACAAACAACCCACAACATCCTTATTCCACCCACAGTAATGCCAGCCAGCCATCCTTTGTGTTCCTATAGTATTCTGCTGTATTTTTTAAGATACAAATATTTTGTTTCCTTATTAGTTTGCCTTAGGAGGCGCCTTGGCATGGAGTCTGGAGTCAAATATGCACATTTTCAAAAGTCACGTGTTGAACAACTGTACCAGTCGCACTCCACCACCGCTGCACGGTTATATAACTGAACCAAATGGCGTAAACATCTTAAGCCTCAACTTTCTCATTTATACAACTAGAATATTCACCATACATATACTCTAGGTATTTCTGAGGGTTATATAAAATGGAAAATACTCTGCTAATTTTGGCTACTCCTATTAAAAACTAATTAAAGTTACATCATATTTTAAAAAGACTTAGAAGGGGAAGGCTTAAGAAGATAACTCAATCTTTTTGCAGAGAAAAAGAGTTTTTTTAATAGGGAAAAAATGTTCCTAAGTACTTAAGGTCAGAGCTACAGGCAGGGAGATCACTGAAATGAAGCTGCCATTCCTTTCTTCCTCAATCTCTTACACTACTTTCATTAAGTTTTCAAAAATGCACATTTGATTTCATCAGTATTTTGTTAAAAACCTCTCAGCAGTCCTCCCATACTTACATGTCAATTTTGCATTCAAAATCTCCTAAGAAATGGCTCCAATAGAGCTTTTTAAAGTCCAACCACTTGTTATCCTCCTCTAAGGTGACCACACACACACACGTCACAATGTAAGTGGAGTTAGGGTGTATGTGGACTATGGGACACACTCTTGCCTAGTCTGGCCTACAAGCTTGGACTGTTACTCTTTTTAACCGTACTCCTTTCACTGCATTTGTCAAAATTCTATACATCTTTTATTTCACTTTTTCTCTTGAATATTAATTTCATGAGTTAAAGAATTTGAAATTCAAAATGATTTCTCTCTGAACTTTGCTGGAATTTCATGCCGTTTTCTTGCATTCACAATGCTAAAAAGAAGTGTAATGTCCTCATTGTTTATAAGCAGTATGTCTTTTCTCTCTTTAGCAGGTTCAAGGTCTTCTCCACAGTATCAATAAAAATATCAAAGCATAGCAGCATAGTATTTTAGCTTACACTGTAGCTTTAGGGGCAGACAAAGGGGTGCATATTTGTTTAACCACTTAAGACTATTAAATTAGACGTTTAGGCTTTCTGAAATTCAGGTGCCTAATCTGTAAAGCAGAGATGATTTACTAAGCAAAGACAACCTACTGAATGGAGAAAATGTTCGCCAGCTATGCCTTAGGCAGAAGACTAATATCTAAATTATAAAAAGAACGCAAAAAAAACTAGACCTCAAAAATAAAACACTCAGACAAAATATGGGCAATTGAAATGAACAAATACTTCTCAGAAGGACAAAAAGTCATTAAGTACATGAAAAATTGTTTAGCATTTTTGGCCATCAGAGAAAGACAAATCCAACCAGCGCTGAGATTGTCTCACTCCAAAAAGAACGGGCATCATCAAGAATGCAAAAACAACAAATGCTGGCAAGGTTGTGGGAAAAGGGAACTCTTATACCCTGTTGCAGGGAGTGCAAATTAGTACAACCACTATGGAAATCAGTCTAGTGGTGCCTCAAAAAACTAAAAATAGCAATTCCATTTGACCCATCTGTGCCTCTTCTGGTTGTCTTCCCCAGAGTGAAAAACACCACAGTACAGTGATCCACGCACACTCTGGTTTCTAGCAGCACAACTCCCAACAGCTAAGTCTTTGAAGCATGTCTACCATCAACAGATGAATAAAGAAAATGTGGTATTTATACACAATGGATCACTACTCTGACATATGAAAGGGCAAGTTTGAATAATTTGTAGGAAAATGGAAGCAACATTATGGGATCATAATGTTAAATGAAATAAATCGGACACACAAGCCCAAATATCACATGGCCCCTCTTATATGAGAAATTCAAAGAACAATTTAAACATCAAAATAAAAGATGCATGACAGGAAACAGAAGGACCACTTGGATATGGGGAGGAGATCTGGAGATTGGGGGTGGGAAGAAGGAAGGGTAAGGAACACCTAAAGATGGAATAATGTGTAAGCACCAATTCTCCACAATGATCGTATTTCTTGTGTACCACAAACACGTACTAATGAACAAGGGAAGAAAAAAATTGGATAAACTTTTAAGACTATGGTGACCACTGAGATTATGGATGGAAAGCTATAACAAAACATCCTGCCTTTTGCTAAGCGCTCACTAAATGACGACTTTCCAGGTTTCTCTGTGTGTGTGCTCCCCACACCCCTTCCTGGTACTGGGTATTGCACCGAGGGAATTCTCCCTGAGTTACTTCTGCAGCACTTTTCTTCCTATTTTAAATATTGGAACAGGGACTCCCTAAATCACTAGCTAACCCGGGCTGGGCTCAAACTTGTGATCCTCCTGCCTCAGCCTAGCACAGTGCTGGGATTCGGCTGTTTTTCATGTATTTTTGTTTTCATGTTTTTATATTTTTTCCATAAAAGTCTTTTAAATACTTGTACTACTAAGAATTCTCTATACACTATATCATTTAATTTTTCCAATAACTTTACAATAAAAGATACTAATATTACAGAAGCTGCAATGCCATCTTGGAAGTCAGATTATTTTGGGCTCTGGTTTGGATTTGCAATGCTGTCAAGGGCCCATGTGTTGGAGCAGCCAGCCCCAACCCTTTTGGCACCAGGGACTGGTTTCTGGGAGACTCTTTTTCCATGGATGGGTGTGAGGTGGTTTCCGGATGATTCGAATGAACCCAGGTCCCTGGCTGGTGCAGTGCACAGTAGGGTTCCTGCTCCTGTGAGAATCCAATGCCAGTGCTGATCTCACAGGAGGCGGGGCTCAGGTAGAGCCCCGTGATGAGGAGCGACTGTCAACGCAGAGGGGAGCTTCGCTGCGCAGCCTGTGGCTCACTTCCTGCTGCACAGCCCCGTTCCTAACAGGCCGCCACCAGTACCAGTCCATGGCTCGAGGGTGTGGTCTCCTGTGTTAAAGACTTAGACCCCACCTTGGCACTGCCAGGAAATGGCGGAAGTTCAGAGAGGTGGGCCACACTCTCAGGGGCGTGCCCTTGGAGAAGACAGACGCAGCCCTTCCTCTCTCGTTTCCACTTCCAGCCATGAGGGGAGAAGTCTGCTGCACGGTGCATTTCCATCCTGGTATACTTCCTTGTCACGGGACCAGCGATAAGGCTGACCATGTGCCTAAATAAACTTTCTTTCTCTATAAATTCATCATCTCAGGTACAACAGAAAGATTTCACACCCAGTTCTCCCTTCCTCCAGAAGCTTGTCCATGATTATTATGGAATATGTCTATTCAGTCAGTGCCTGCCTTTGTCACCTCCTGGTCTCTGGTACAACTTAAGGAGAGGTTTATTTTGGCTTGTGATTTCAGTCCATGTCCGCTGGCTCCAAGGCAGGAAGGACATGGTGGAAGGGTCTGGCATGGAAAGCAGCTTGTGTTTTGTAGAGATCAGAAAGCAGAGAGAATATTGAATATTTCCAATTTGCCACATTCAGCTCATCCTCATGAAGGCAGTGCTCCGCACCTCACGCCTGCCCTTTCCACAGAGGATAAGGAGGAGCAGCTTTGGCAACCAGACTTTGAGAATAGCACGGCCATTATCCAGACAGCCCAGGACTCACATGATGCCGGAGCAGAGCCCATCCTACCTGCTCTGGACTGGCACATGAGGGAGAAAAGCACCTGTTTTAAATAGTAGCTTAAGTCTTTAATAAAACATGGGCTATTTGGGGAAGGTTTCATAAAAAATAAGTTTATAGGAAATGTAAGGGAACAGAAGGAAAGAATACCAGAGGGGAGAAAGACCAGGAACATACGAAAAGAGTGTAACAATTTTAGTGTACTATTTCCACAACTGATTACACTTGATAAAAGTGTAATGGTTTTACACTTAGCAAAAACATGGATTTTTAAGTCAATCTAAGAATTAAGCCTTTTATCCTCTGCACAACAAAACATTTTATTGCTAAATAACCTCCCAAATTATTCCAACAAATATCTTTTATTAGTTTCATATTTCTGTATACATACCATACAAAGCTCAAATAAAATGATCCCAAGAGACCAAACATCTGATTTGGGGCCAGAAGGCAATGGTTTTTCATTTGGCACATGATCAGTGGTTTTGAAAATTCCTTGTGCAATTACCTCAGGTGCCAAGTATGATGGATACCTGTAACGACATATTAGAATAACGAGTAATTACTATGAGCTACAATGGTTAACGAAGCAGCTGTATTTTTACTAGCAGTGTCACAAACCTATGTGAAAGTCCTATGCAGTCAAATTAGCCACTGCTACTAGGCAGCCTCATAACCAGCTATCCAGAGGCAGGCCTTACATCCAAGCATCCAGAGTGAGTATGCAGCCAGGCCAGGTCACTTTAGAACTGCAACAGCTCTGCAGCGCTCACTGCTTGCCCGTTTTCCTTGGAATTTGCAATGCACCACCTTTGCTTATGGTCTTCTAAGTTTACAGTTTTTCCTTCCTCCTTACAACCTGTATTTTCTTAACAATGAATTATGATTTTACCACTGTACCTTTCAAATCAGAATTAACGGGTAGCAGGAATGTCAAAGCTAATATGTGTCTAATGTGTGTGTATTATACTGTATATTATATACATGTACATATGTTATACACATATGACTCTTAACCTGTTCCCCTTACCCTACTAAACTTACTTACAAACCCTTCTGCTCCACACAGAAAGTTATACACATTGCTCCACACTACAGTTTTCCCCTAAAAGTATATTTGAGAGATCATTCTTTTAAAGTACAGTTGCCCTCATTCTTTTTGAAATATTGCCAGTAATTTAATTTTATCAACGCAGTTTGATAAAGGACATTTTGAAAGTTCCTTTCTTTTGCTATTACAAACAATGCTGTAAGAAATACATTATAAATGTCCTGTTTCTCACAAATGTAAGTGTAGTTGGCAGAATGAATTCGTAGAAGTGACAATACAAGGTACAAGGTATGCACAGTTTAAATTTTGGTAATACCAGCTTGCCCCGTGGAGAGGTTACATCCATTTATATTTCACAAGCAATACGCAGACTGTTTATATTTTCACATCACCAATATTACGTTTTTTAAAAATTGTGCCAATACTGAATAAATATAAAAGGACTACTATTAAATAAGCATAAGGTGTAAGAATGCCCAAGCATACCAAGAATGAGTTTAAAAGAAAACTGTCAAATTAGCACTAATGGTCCTACTATGTCTCTCTCTGACTGCATCTCCATCTGTATTCCTCAGAAAGGCCTGTGGCAATTTTGTTTATAATTGCTTTCCATTTTCTCATAGTTCACCAGATAGCTCTAAATATATATGAGGTGTGACAGACATGCAAAGCGAATGTTTAAGTTTTAGCTATTACAGTAAAACACACACTGACATTATTCCAGACCCACTTATCCCATTGTCATCATTTTCTGAAGCAGTTCTGGAAGTCTTCTTTTGTCCATGTGTTCAGTGACACTGTCTCAGCTAACTTGATGTCTGGAATCAATTTAAAATGCTGATCTCTCACAGTCATGTTGACTTTTGGGGTAGAGGCAGAAGTCATACAGTACTGGACCCAACAAATAAGATGAACGAGGATACACTGCCATTTTTCTTTTTGATGGCACGTAATAGCAGCATTCACTGTACTTTTTATCATACTTCGTAAGGATTCATGAAAGAAAACTTCTAGAACTGCTTCAGAAAGCGGTAAGAATGATGAGTGTGTTCAGGGAGAGGAGGCACCTTGGGGCGATTGGAGCTAATATGTCTATTACTGTAATACACTTATACAAGTTAAATACAGTAATTTCATCATCTCTTGTAAGTTTAGTCAAGCATAGTTCTGAACATAATTGGTAATTACGATGATTATTCTTTTGCATTTCTATTAACATATTTAAACATTTGCATGTAATTATACAGTGTTAATTTTACTTCTAGTTTATGAATATATTTTTATACATTCAAGTATCAATGGCATCTAAATTGTTTCCTCTATTTTATGTTATAAACAATGTTCCACAGAATATTTTACATGGTGCAATTCCATAAATGTTCCCCATGGTAAGAACCTAGATTTCTAGAGCTGAATTCATAAGCCACAGGGTATGTGTACTTGCAAATTTATTAAATCAAAAAAATTTTTTTTTTTTTTTTTTTTTTTTTTTGGTGTTTGAGACAGGATCTCACTATGTAGTAGGAACTGACCTGGAATTCACTATGTAGCCCAGGCTGGTCTCGAACTCACAGTGATCCTCCTGCCTTGGCCTCCCTAGTGCTGGGATTACAGGTGTGCGCCACCATGCCCGGCTGCAAAAATACTCTTTGAAAGATGTTCTATCAATCTATATACCAACCAATAGTCAGAGTTTCTACTGGCTATTTCTTCAACAACACTGATTTGATTTTTGGTTTTTTTTTTTTTTTTTGTGCCAGGGATTGAACTCAGGACCTTCTGCTTGCGAGGCAGGCAGCAGAACCACTGAGCTAAATCCCCAGCAACAACACTGATATTAGACAAAATTTGTAACACTTAAAATCTAAGGAGTATGATCAATACCTCACTGCAGTTTCAATTTACATTTCCTTGAAAATTAATGAGACTGAGGCACATATTTATTGGGCATTTAGGTTTCTTATTGCATGATGCTCCTGTTCAAGTCTTCTGTTCATTTCTCTATTGGGTTGTTGGAACCCAGTCTTGAGGAACCCATGTGCAGGCTTTCTTCTAGTCTCCCCCTCCCACAGGGATTAAAAGAACACACACTTCCCACAACAACTAAAACCCAGGACTGCACATGTGATGTTTTTGGCCAGGGAAGCCCATTAAAATCTCACTGTTCAAGGCTTTTACTGCGGCCTGATCACAGAAGCCCTCAATGTCTGCCTTACCACTCAAGACTCGGGACTCTTACAGGGAAGCAACTATTCTGCTTATACAAGTACACTGTGCAAACAGGCACCATAAGCCATGCTTACCACTTAGGAGATCAGAACACTTCTGAAATCCAAGTCCCCAGGTACCAGCCTAGGGTGAACTTAGTTTCTGCTAGCAGTCTCTGGACTTTTAACTTTTGGGGGGCACAGTTAATACTTTCCTTATTGTTTTGAAGTTTCTTTATACTTCTAAATACTAATTTTTTCAGCAACTATGACTAGTAATACTTTTTATCACTTTTAGTTTGTCTTGTCACCATGGTTTCTGTTTGTAAATGATAGGCTCAATCTTTCAAACTAACTGCTTTCCTTATATTTGGTGATTTTATCAAAATGATTCTGTGTATTCTTTTCTCAAAAAAGAATACACCGTACAGCCCTTCATGTCCAACTTCCTTGATGAGTTTGGACTGACTGTTCATGAAGTGAGACACAGGTGTAACTTCACCTTTCTGCCCCACCCATGAAAGGTTTTCCTCCCAACTTGCCTGCAAAGCCAGCTTGGCCATAAGCAAAACCTCCACATACGTGTACTCTGCTTCTTAGTTCACTTGTCACTGAAAAATGTCCCCAATATTACTTTATTCATTTAGGTCTATAATTTTACATAAATAATTACTGATAACTAAGACAAGCCTTTTCCTTTTTTTTTTGTTTTTTTTGAGACAGGGTCTCACTATGTAGTTCAGATTGCCCGGGAACTCACTATGTAGCCCAGGCTGGTCTCGAACTCACAGCAGTCCTTCCGCCTCAGCCCCCTAGTGCTGGGATTACAGGTGTGTGCCACCATGCCCAGCAAGACAAGCCCTTTCAACACACACACACACCATACCTACCTTTTTTCTTCAAGGACTGTCGAAGCTCATTTTAGATGTTTGTTCTTTATATATACTTAAAACTACATTGCCATGTTTTTGTTCACATAGACATTTTGTTGAAATAGATCTAATCTAGAAACAGGCTGGGAAGAACTAGCACTTTTCCAGTAGTGAGTTCAACATTTAAGAACATGACACATCCTTATTTTCTAGTCCAAAAGATTTGTTTTTGAAGTAAATATAGTTCCTTAGGTTATATAAGGTCCTCATTTTGCCTGTTTCCTATTTTAGACTATATATAATGATGATACTAAAATATTGGTTTTATATACTATTATTTCATGCAGAAAAAATTTAAACTATCCAGATTAAAACAAAATTCCTTGAGGGCACTCAGGTATCTTACTCATTTTTATAAACGTGTGTATGTGCTGGTGTTTATGTATGTGCACATGCTTTTAAAAGAACATTTCCTATCAAAATGTCAATTAGTACTAGCTTACAATTTAAAAAGCATATGGTAAATAAAAATTAGGCCTATTGGCAGTTGGTAAGTTTTTATCTCACTATCTTAAAATGAAATGATGACAAACAGCTTCAACAAGACAAATGAGAAATATGTAGAACTTTGCTCTACTCCATATGTATGTATATGCCCTTCACGTACTGTCAGTTTCAATCAGGGGCACCAATACCTGGATTTTCAATTTAATTAGCTCAAATTATGCTCTCCTGCAATATTGGTAATCAAAATGTATTAATGGCCAGGGACAGAGGTGCACACTGATAGTCCCAGCTACTTGGGAGGCTGAGGCAGGAGGATTTCAAACTTGAGGCCAGGGAGACCCTGTCTCAAATTTAAAGGAGAAAAAACAGTCAAAGTGCTGGGATGTAGCTCAGTGTTCCCTGGATTTAAACCTCACTATTACAAAAGAGAAATTGAGTATGTGCACGACCTCGATGTTCTGTGCTTACAGTAGACTCAAATATTCTTCCACCTCTCCCCGTTTTCTTCAGCTGCCTCCCCACACATTCTTGCCAGCACGCGTGATTACACAGCTAATGCCAGTCACTTCCTCATAAGTCGAGGAGTACAACTTGAATCTTACGTTCAAAAGGATAAATTGAGTTTTTCTGGGACATAGAAACAGATTAAGTTTTATTTTTTTAAACTTTATATGTTTTATTAGTACATATTTGTCACACATATTGATCACACTCTTCACAGGGAATTTGTATCTGTACATAATATATCTTGATTCTTTTTTCCCATTCCCTCCCTTCAACCCTTTTTCCCTTCCCCATTTAGAAAGCTGTTTCCATCTTTTTCTTTTTACCGCTCTCCCCACTCCCTCCTTGATCCCCCTTCCCATTTGAACGCGTTCTTCCTACTTCTCAGTACATGTCCTCCATCATGTGCCTTGTTTACCCTTTGGGTTTTTCATTTCAGTGCAACAGTGATAGTTTGGATCTCTTTAAAATCTGCTCACGTACAAATCTGATTATATTTTACCCTAAGGCAGTGGTGGCAAACCTATGGCATGCGCGTTGTTTTTCTTTCGAAAGAATGTGAATCAGTTCCTTTTTTGTAAAGTAAAACTTTATTATGCAGGTTTAACTGCCGTGTTGACACTTCGTGATAAATAAGTGGGTTTGGGGCTGCAGTTTGGGCCCTTGACTCTTAACTGCCCTGTGATTATCACACTAAGTCCACCTTTAGAAAAAAACCCAAAATGTGATGTTATAAGACCATTTTAATTTTGTAGTATGTGATCTTGCTTTCATCTGCAATATAGGAATAATAACAACAACCACACCAAACTGCTTTAAATATTAGCCAATTCATAAGGATGTTTTATATAAAGGAATCTGGGACACAAATAGAATATTTCCCTTTACTGTGATCAATGTAATATACTTAGGAGGCAAACTATTCATTCTATTTCTGATTTCTAGCACATCCAACCCGAAATGACTGTACAGGTTGCAAAAAGCCAAGCAAAACTATAGTTAAGTTGCTATATCCAAACCTTCTAACACAAGCAGAGGAAATACTTGCCCCCAAAACTCTAGTCTTCTTTTAATTGAAGATAAAAACAATTAAGCCCTAAAACAGTTCTTCAGTGTAGGCCATCTGCTCTCAACACCATTCTCTTCCTAATCACAGAGGCTGTCACTCCAAGGCGGTTTCCCAGACTCTGCGGGGAGTGGAGCGCTGGGGTCAACAGCGACTTTCGTCCACTGACTGCTGCTTTAATGAGGTATTAAGCTACTGGCCAAGCCAGATGAAGGCCCAGTTTCTAATGCTTTACAGTGTTTTGAAACAGATGGTAACACTTTACTTATTGTTCTGTAATATTTGTCTTTTGAATCAACTGCAAGCTTCTTCTACTATAAATATTTTCTTTCATGCCTTAGCTGTTTGATCACTTATTTTTCCTGGCTAATGTTTCACGTTTTGCTCCTTGATAATTTCTGCAAAAATCCTTTGGGTCTAAAGCTTCTGAGCAAGTCAGATAACATGCTAACTTGGACCAACTCTCTCTAAGCACTTTAAATGCAAAAGTAGTTCTTCAGACTGCTAAGATGTTTAATGTTTTAATGTTTACATTTTTTTTGTTTGTTTGTTTTGTTTTTATTTTGGTACTGGGGATCAAACTTGGGTACTTGCGCTTACAAGGCAGAACCACTGAGCTAAATCCCCGGCCCCATGCTTAAATGTTTTAATGTTTATTGTACTCATCATTAAATTCAAGGCACCTTAAAGTAATTTTTCTTTGTGTTATATTGTTGGAGTTAATGCTTACACAAATTAATTTAAACAAAATGCAGACGCAGCAGCAATTGCATTTATTGCAGCTTCTTGAAAGTCAGGTCAGACATAACATGTTACAAAGAGCGCAACTAAGAACTTGCTCTATGCAAAGGGTTTTTAAAGGAGAAATCACTGATGATCTTTACAAATATTTTGATACTAATGAAAAAATGGTTTGTTTCCTATGCCCAATGCTTTTGATGTGTAAAGCTACAGTATCATGAATTTACATACTGTAATAAATGGGCAATCTAAAACAAAATCTTGCCCACTGATCAAGAAATTTCTTGAGGACAAGAACACAGTTAACCATCAGGTGTATCCAACAGGCAAAAGAGAAGGTGTTTGATAAATGTATCTTCACTGAATTAAATCTAAGATTATTACCCATGCCTTCACTAATGAACATTTTAGATAAGAAATTTATAATCTAAATTAGAATGATGAAAGGGAAATTTACATATGATTAAAAAAAAACTAAGCAAATTATTAAGCAGTGCTCTGCTTCAGAAACACTCCATGACTACTTATCACAGTTCTCAGTTATTATGGCTGATAGAATTTATTTCAGAAAACCCTAAGAGCAAAATACAAATTAATACTACTTAAAAATCACCACAATGCAATTGTAAAAATGTGATTAAGGTTTTCAGGTTGGATAATAATATTGCACTGTTTTAATATCCTCATGTTGATCACTGTCCTAAGCACATAAAAGTCAAGTTCCTATTTTAGGACATATAAAATGGGGCACAGTATTTAGGGAAAAAGAGCCACTAGGTGTGCTAATGCCTCTTAAATGATTCCAAAAAGTACAATAAACATACACAGGGCAGAGGGTAAAAGAGAGGTAATGCAAATACATGTAATATTGAGGGAATCTAAAAGGAAATACAGAAATTCTTTGTTCTGTTTGTTAATTTCTGTATATCTAAGATAATCAACTTATATATTAAAAAAGGAAAATAATTATGTTACAAAAATGTTTAAAAGCAACTGTATAATAAATTCCAAAGTCTATCAGAAGCATCCATCGAACACAGCATGAAAGGAGCTTCCATTCCTTCTTGAAGGACAGCACAAACCAGAAATTCCACATCACAAGGGACAAAATGGAGCTATGTAAACACAGATGTCCACATATGGGATCTGTCCCATTTCATCTGCCACCCAGAGTGACTCAACTCAAATTTTAACATGCAGTCATACATGGGAATAAGGAATTAAGTATAGAACACTACACTGTAAATAACGCCAGAGTGGTATGTTTCTGTCTCTTGGTGCACATGCTATCATTAATTAAGGATCTGGTTAGTCTTCTCACCTTAAGCTCATTTAATTCTGAATAAATCATAAAGAGGAAGTGGTAATCAATCATCTGTTATCCTTTTTGCTAGTTCCATGAAAGTTTAACAACAGAGATCTTTGGAATACTGGGAAAAATTCTTGTCTACTTTTTAACAAGAATATGAAAAAAAGATGTATTAATAAGGAAAAGTTGCTTTCATGACAAAACACACTATCAAAATAATAACAAAACAAATATTTTATCAAATATCATGAAGTTTAAAATATAACTCACAACAGAGGAAAATATATCTTACCCTATTGGGAAATCAACATCATCACCATAAGCTGTCATGTGATAAAGTCCAAATTTCGCCAATTTAATATGCCCCTACAATAAGAAAGTGAAAAAAATCACCATGAGATATTTTAATATAACTAGCAAGGAAAATTATATTTTATAAGACAAACATTGTATATGACCATTTAATCAAAATATTACTATATAAGATTTTATAAAATACCACAATTTTATCCAAAAATATCTGCCAATGTTTAGTCTATTTTACATTCATTCTATATGTCCATATGCATGGGTTTACATGTATGGATGTATATACATATGTGTATGTATATATTGAAATGTCAAATCACATTTTTAACATTTTTGAGGTTTGTATTATCTAGGTATTGCGACAAAGGAAAGGGAAAAATGCTATTATTTGTATTGAAATCTTGGTTAAAATGTTTGTAGTAATTTTTACAGAGGACTTTTTTTTGAGGGAGATGAAAGTCCATTCATGTCATAATTTAACTGTGACACGAGAATTCTTAACCTGAAAAGTTCAGCTCAATCACCAAGATTTTGGTAACTATGTCAGATTTCCTGTAACTGTTGAGAATAACAACAATTATAACAAGTGTGAGGTCCTACATAAAATGATAGATTTTATGCATCTCATGGCTTTCTGCTTTTAGATGTTTTATTTTTTAAAAAAAAGTTGATTTTAAAATTCACTTGTCTTTTTAACAAGAATTTTTAAATTCCAAGTATTATGAAATATTTATATGCTAAAACAATTTAGTTAGGTGGGGGCAATGATATTTAACTGTCATAAATCTCAATTAATGCATATCATTTTACGATTTTAATATAGGGTTGCTAAATGTAAAAGTTTCAGAGAACAGTTAAATTGAAGATAATTCTCATGGGAAAAAAGTCCTCAGTGCCATTTTTAATATGCTTATAAAAAGTAAAATTATGATTATTACAGACAGTGTACCTTTTCATATGCATAATTCTCTAAGGAGGGTTTACTAACTTATGGATCCTCAAAAAAATGTGAAATAGAGAAAGAGCAATCCAACAGAAGCGGCCTGGTTATGAACAGCTGCTAAACAGGTAAATGAAACAGGAAAGAAGAAAAATATCAGGAAAACTCAATGCAGTTGCCCTTATAAAAATGATGTTCTTACTCAGATTGCAAGAACAGCTTTCTTAAAAATTCAGTGGAGTAGGTTGTAAAGCTACACGTATTATTTAGAAAAAAAATGAAAGGGAAAATAAAACACTAAGTTAGAAAATGAATTTTTGGACAAAAAAATTATGTCAAAGACAGATTTAAGTAATTTAAAGGTTGTTTTGCAACAATCACAAATATCACTTTCAGAGAATTTTTTCACTATAAATGTTCTCAAAAATGTTATTTGATGGTCTGATTGAATGGGCCCAAATCCAACAGCTCTCAATTCAGGGAGCATACAGATATCCATGATAGCATATATTTGACAATTACCTTTCCATCCAACAGGATATTGTGAGGAGATAGTGCCCGGTGTACTATGCCATGTTTATTCATATACTGCAAACCCTGAAGGACTTCAAATGCTATGCTTAAGACCTTTGAATAGCTACAAAAAAAAAGGTAAAATATCAATTACAAAGCAGACATAGAAGCTGTTTTAAGAAGTAAAATGAAACCTAGTGAAACCATTCAAAGTATATTTTTATTGCACCTCCTCTGTTTGGAGAAAGTAGAAATTATATATTTTCTAAAATGTCTACTTGTACAAATCTGATTATAGTCAATTCTGAAAAGAACTGATATCTAAAACACAGACACACACACACACACACACACACACACACACACACCCCATATGGGAAAAAAGGACAGAATTGATATGATAAAGAATCACACAGCTGCCTAAAGGCCACTTTAATAGCAGTATTTATTCTCCCAGGAATTGATGTATGGCAGGACTAAGTCAACAAAAACCATTTACTGAGTTCAAAATAAAACCTCTACCCCCTGAAAACAGGTACAAAATATTTTATGGTACATAGATCTTAGCTTCTTTTCCACATGAGTTCACAGCAACCTCCAGAAATTTGTGGTTTACCAAACATGTCTCTTCTTGTCTGGCCTCTTGTAATCACCCTCCACACACATGCCCATTTATATTTTCTCCTGCCAACTCTCATGGTTCCCATAGTATTTTAATAAAAAAAATTGTTCCTATAAAGAATAATATACAGAAAAAAATAATAAGATACAGAAAAGTAAGGGAAGACTCCTTCAAACTCAACCCCCCAAACTACCAATATTAACATTTTGGTACAGATGATTTTCTGTCAATTTTTTGATTTTAAAAAATCAAGTTTCTGCAGGTAACCATTAAAAATAACTTAAAAGGGCTGCAGTGAGTCACTAATAGATGTTATTAAAAAATACTTAACCCAATGTAGGCAGAATAAAAGGAAATAACAGAATAGAAAATAGCTTTAAATCCAATGCCTCAATTATATTAAATTAATCTAAATTTACCAATTAGAAAACAATGATTGTTAGATTTGATAAAAATTAAGACTCAACTATACTTAGACTATGAGAAATCCACACTAAAGAGAAGGCACAGGTTAACAGGATGGGCTAACACATCGACGGCTGCTATGGGCTAGGAGAAGGTGAAGTACAAGGATGAAGAAATTCTGTGTGGTGATAGAACTGTTTACACTATTCTTAAATTTTGATAGTTATATGACTTCCTTTTTCAGTCTTTCAACCATATACCAAAAGAGTAAATTTTTGACAAAACTTTTTAAAAAAGAATTTTTGCAACTTGACTCTCCCCTAAATCAAAAGAAGAACCACAGATAAAAAGTTTAAATTTCTCTCTTTCTTGTTGTAATTTGACTTTCCAGAGATAATCAGACATAAAAGACCAACATTCTTTTCATGAAGTTTAAACAAGTGCATAGATAATATACAGTCGTTAAATGCCAAGGACAAAACAGTACAGGGAAGATGCACAGTGTGTTCCGGAAGCTTCCACTAAGCAGCCTTGCCTTCTGCAGACATGTACATGGAGTGAGAGAGCTCTCTGGGATGTGAGCAACAGAGGCCGCCCAACCAGCATGTACGTTCCAGGCCCACAGAATGCTCAGCAGTGTCAAGAGAACAAGAGGCAGCCACAGTCTCTCAGTAAAATGGAGGAAGGGGAAGAGTAGGATGAGGTAGGAAAGGGAGCAGGCAGTCCGACTATGGAAGACCTTGTAGGCCGTTATAAGGTCTGGTTTTCATGTTGAGAGAGATGGGACGTGACTGGTGCACTACCATAATTAAGAAACACCATAGAACTAAGCAGAGAAGGAAATACAAATGAAGGCCACTTAAACTGCAGTTTTCCACAACAGCTTTGAGTCAAGGTCTTACTCATCAGGATTTCATGCTTACTATACTTTCATAATCATGCTTTACTCATGAAGAATATCAGCCACTACAAGTTCTCCATTACTTAGTTGTGATACATCCTGAGAGGTCTTGAGAAAAGCAGCATGATTTGAAGAGCATGGCAAGTCCGGAAATGCCTTGCTCTTGTCCTCACACCTGGACACAATCAGTCCATTGTCTTACAGCATCCTTTACTCCCAGTAAGAAGCTCAATACCAATTTTGAAGTCTGGATCCAATTTTGCTGCAGATACCTTATTATTCCCTCCTGGAATCTTTGAGGATCCACTCTTACTTTATCCTTAGAGTTATAAAACTTTAGCCCAGTATGTTCTAGGGCTGTTTGTGTATCTAAATGGTTCACCATTGCTATTCCTGGGGTGGGCACATTTGTGCTGGTCAGCATTAGGTGTGAGTTACCTTTTAATCTGAAGCTATATCTGTTCATAAACAAAGAAGTACTAATAAGGAAAAGCTGATCTACCTAAGTTGGAACTTTATTTTCTAAATCAACTTTCTGTTTTACTTCCCAGCAGCATGGTCTTCAGCCTGGTCTATTCCTTCATTTAGGAACTGGGCGGGGCTCTCTGCAGATAGCTAGAATTCTTTTAATTCTGGAAACAAAGAGAGTTAGCATCATTTCTCCCTGCCTCAACTACAAGGCTCTTTTTCCCTCAAACTCAAAATGCCTCGCCTCAAATATGTGATAATTCAATCCTTGGTTGTGAAATATATTTTAAAGAAAAAAAATAAATTGTTATTTCCTATATGTATCTAAAAAAGAAACAATGGTTACTATTTATGGGGAATAGTATTTAAATTGATTTGCAAACTACCCAAATACAAATTTACATATCAACCAGTTTTGGGCAAATAGGAATACATAAAGCAAGCACAATTTTGGGTAAACAGAATTTTCATAAACAATTTCAAAATGTAAACCAATATATTAATAAAATGAAGATTCTAAACTTCAAAACACATTTCATTCATTACCTATCAGTAGTTGTAGGTATAAAAACTTGGCATAAAAGCAACATATATAGATGAATAGGTGCATATGAAATAATGGAAACACTTGCCCCTTAGGAATAAATTTTCCTTGGGATTAATAAATAAAAATTAAACAAGTCTGATGAGCTCACGTGGCTCTACATGTCAACTTTAAAATGACCTCTTGTGTTATTTTGTGCTTGTACAGTATAACTGCATTCATCACATTGTCTTAAAAGCTGAGCTCATAATGTTAAGTGAAATAAACCAGACACACAAACTCAAATATTGCATGGTTCCTCTTATCTGAGAAACTCAAAATATAAATGAAGGCCAAAATAAAAGACAGATAATAAGAAGTAAAGAGTTAGAACTTTCTTAAATGGGAAAGGACCAGAGATGGAAGGAAAGAGGAGGGTCGAGGAGGATGAAAAAGGCTGTGTTCTCTCCATGCACCAATTCCACACATGGGCTGTAAATACCACGCACTGCAAACGTGCTAATAAAATAAAAAACAAAATCTAAAAAAATGTTAAAAGCCAGGCTATATTTCGCTGTGACACTAGAGGGCCTCAGCGGCATACTACTTCAGTACAGACATCTACACAATTAAAACCAAATCTTTAGTGATTTTTTTTTCAGTTTTGAAATTGCTGAATACAGAGGACTGCATGTTTAGCTTTCTGTACAGAGCTCTAACCAGTTGCAAAACATTAGACATCAGAAGTGCATGTCAAAAGCACATCCCTGTTAAAAAATATTATACCAAAATAATCTTAAAAATTCATATATAAAAATGCTGAAGCTCTTAACATATTCTTTCTTAGCTATTACAGGAGACTAAAGTTAATGAATTTAGTATTCTTCAGTTTAAATCACACAGTAAATCAAACCTTTTTTACACATAGGATTTAATTTAAATTTTTAAAATATAAAATAAAAAAATTAATGTGATCTTCTATAATGAAGAGAAAGAGTACTCAGTATTTGTAGAATTTTGTATACCTAACATGTTCTAAATGTTTACTATTTAATACTGTCAACAGTTTTGATCATGAAATTTCTTTTTTTTAAGTAGCTAACACAATTTCAGGGCAATATCAAGGTAAAAAATATCACACCCAGTCAGGCAATGTTTTAAAGTTTAATTCAACATGGACACCAAAAAGATTTATGATTGAGAAAAGAGGATTCATACCATTTTTAAAAAAATATGATACTGGAGGAGAATAAGGCTTTGTCCTAGTTTCCAAAACAGAACTCTGTTAAGAAACCTGTCACTAATACGGAACTAACATGAGAGTTCAGGCAGAAACCACTCTTCTCCTTTTTAAATTTTCAGTTATTGTTTTTACTTCAGAGACATCAGTTTATCTGACAAATGAACATGACAATCTCTGGAAATTTTAAATATTAAAAATACAACCAAATGGCAGCTTTAGAAAATCACATCACTGATATTTTGAAATACATGGGATAACATTTTAAGATACTTCCATTAATATTCAAGTACATACATTAGGCTTTTAGCTGTAATATTAGCTAAATGACACTGCATTTTTAAAGGCCCTATGGATCCCAAGAGGAAGAACTAATCTTCATAGTATACTCAGAAAGACAGATTCATAAAGTGTTAACTTCAATACAAGGAATTAAGGCAGAAGTTGAGAATTATTCATCCTTTCCCTTTGTCTTTGGAGAAAATAGAACATGAAAATGTGTTCAGTACATTGATGAGACCAAAACAGACTTTTAAACATCATTAATCTTGGGAAAGAGGAGAGACAGAGGGAAAGAGGGAGAGAGGGAGAAGGAGAAGGAGGAGAGGGGGGAGAGGGGGAGATGGGGAGAG